GTCTTAGGCAGGGGCGGACTGACCATTCGGGAACTCTGGCACTGCCTGAGGGCCCGGGGTCAGTAGGGGGCCCCATGAGATGCCCCTGGTACCTTTTTCATAGGCTTTTTTGAGTTTGGGCAGGGACACAGGGGCCCCATGATCCCCTATTTCCCGGGGGCCCCATGAGTTGTTAGTCTGCCCCTGGTCTTAGGATCAATTCCCACCAGGTGGGAATGAATGAGGGAGGAATTTGCCAATTAGTTGGTGGAAGGGTACATGAGGGAAGATTTCAGTTGGCTATTTATTGGGTAAGTGAAAGGAGAGGGCAGTCAACTGGAGGATGGGTATGTTAGGGAGGATGGCAGTGGGCTGGAGGAAGGGTACATGTGGGAATGGCAGTTGACTAGAAGCAGAATACATGGGAGGAAATGGTAGTTGGCTGGCGTTAAGGTATATGGGGGAGATAGTTTACTAGTGGTATGATACATGGGGGAAGATGGCAGCTAACTGGTGGTAGGACACATGGGATTTGAATGATCTTCGGGAACATGGGGGGAAATGTCTATTGGCTGGTGGTAGGGTACATAGGAAGAAATGGCAGTTAACATGGAGAGGAGGGGAGTAGAATTTTGTTGGTAGTAAGGTACAGTGGGGAAGATGGCATTTAGCTGGTGTTAGGTTACATGAGAGAAATGGCTGTTGACTGTTCGAAGGGTACACTGGGGGCGATGACAGTTACCTAGTCATAGGGTACATGGGGAGAATGGTAGTTGGCTGGTGGTAGATATATGGAGTGAGAGGGCAGTTGGTTGGTGGTAGGGTGCATGAAGTCAGATGGCAGTTGGCTTGTGGTAGTGTACTTGGGGAGGGGGTGGCAGTTGGCTGGCAGAGATGTACATGGGGGGAAATTGCAATATGCAATGTAGAGCTCTGTGTGGAACATTACAGTTTGCTGGTTTTAAGATACATTAGAGGAGATTACATTTTCTTGATAGTGGGGGAGAGATGGCCAATTGCCGGTAGCAGGGTATATGGAAGAAGATGGTGGTTGGTTGGTGGTAATAAATATGGAAGGAAATGGCAGTTGGTTGGTGGTAGTTTACAGTATATGAAAGGTGATAGTGGTTGATTGGTGGTATATATGGAAGGAGATGGTGGTTGGTTGGTGGTAGGGAATATGGAAGGAGATGGTAGTTGGTTGATGGTAGGGAATATGGAAGGAGATGGTGATTGGTTGGTGTTAAGGGATATGGAAAGAGATGGTTGTTGGTTGGTGGTAAGGAGTATGGAAGGAGATGGTGGTTTGTTGATGGTAGGTTATATGAAAGGAGATGGTGGTTAATTGGTGGTAGGGTATATGGAAAGAGATGGTAGTTGGTTGGTGGTAAGTAATATGGAAGGAAATGGTGGTTGGTTTGTGGTAGGGTATATGAAAGGAGATGGTAGTTGATTGGTGGTACGGTATATGGAAGGAGATGGTGGTTGGTTGGTGGTAGGGAATATGGAAGGAGATGGTAGTTGGTTGATGGTAGGGAATATGGAAGGAGATGGTGATTGGTTGGTGTTAAGGGATATGGAAAGAGATGGTGGTTGGTTGGTGGTAAGGAGTATGGAAGGAGATGGTGGTTGGTTGATGGTAGGTTATATGAAAGGAGATGGTGGTGGTTAATTGGTGGTAGGGTATATGGAAAGAGATGGTAGTTGGTTGGTGGTAAGTAATATGGAAGGAAATGGTGGTTGGTTTGTGGTAGGGTATATGAAAGGAGATGGTAGTTGATTGGTGGTACGGTATATAGAAGGAGATGATGGATGGTTGGCGGTAGGGTATATGGAAGGAGATGGAGGTTGCTTGGTGGTAGGGTATATGACAGGAGATGGTGGTTGATTGGTAGTAGGGTGTCAGGGATGCGGGTATGACCAGAAGTGTGTGGACTGACACAGGGAAACGCAGGCTTCAGATATAGTAAATAATATAATTTATTAAGACTAACAATACAAACGCAGTGCAAAACTAAACATAAACACAGTGCAAACAAACTGAACCTAACCTCCAACAGATAACAAACATACAATACAAGAGTAGTCAGACAGGCCGGGTCGGTAGCAAACGGGCAAACGGAGTACCAGGAGCAGGCGGGAGAGTGGTCAGGACTAGCCGAGGTCAGTACAGGCAGAGTTCAAGCAGAGTCAGGACAGAAGTAACAGGATCAGGAAACCAGGGCCAAGCAAACAGTACAACAAGGCACTGACTGCAGGTCTGGCCATCCCTTAAATACACCACCTGCAATCAGCCCCAGGTGGTGGCTAATTGCTGGAGTGAGCCTCTGGTTGTTGAGAGCACCCGCTGGCCAGTCCTGGTACTGCAACCCACAAGGCAGGGGAGTCCCACCACTATTGGTGAGTCCATTCCTGACATAGGGTATATGGAAGGAGATGGTAGTTGGTTGGGGGTAGGGTATACGAAAGACGATGTTGTTGGTGTGATTGGTGGTAGGTTATATGGAAAGAGAGGGTGGTTGGTTGGTGGTAGGGTATATGAAAGGAGATAGTGGTTGGTTGGTTGGTTGGTTGAAGGGTATGTGAAAGGACAATATGGTTGGTTGGTCATAGGGTATATAAAAGGAGATAGTGGTTGGTTGGTTTAGGGTATGTGAAAGGAGATGGTGGTTGATTGGTGGTAGGGTATATGCAAGGAGATTGTGGTTGGTTGGTGGTAGGGTATATGAAAGGAGATGGTGGTTGGTTGGTGGTAGGGTATGTAAAAGGAGATGGTGGTTGACTAGTGGTAAGGCATATGGAAGGAGATGGTGGTTGATTGATGGTAGGGAATATGGAAGGAGATGGTGTTTGGTTGGTAGTAAGGAATGTGGAAGGGGATGGTTGTTGGTTGGTAGTAAGGAATATGGAAGGAAATGGTGGTTGGTTGGTGGTATTGTATATGAAAGGAGACGGTAGATGGTTGGTGGTAAGGAATATGGAAGGAGATAGTGGTTGGTTCATGGTAGGGAATATGGAAGGAGATGGTGGTTGGCTTGTGGTAGGGAATATGGAAGGAGAGGGTGGTTGGTAGGTGGGTGGTAGGTAGGAAATATGGAAGAAGATGATGGTTGATTGATGGTAAGAAATATGGAAGGAAATGGTGATGGTTGGTGGTAAGAAATATGGAAGAAGATGGTGGTTGGTAGGTGGTAAGAAATATGGAAGGAAATGGTGGTTGGTTGGTGGTAAGAAATATGGAAGGAGAGGGTGGTTGGTGGGTGGTAAGAAATACGGAAGGAGATGGTAGTTGGTTGGTGGTAAGAAATATGGAAGGAGAGGGTGGTTGATTGATGGTAAGAAATATGGAAGGAGATAGTGGTTGGTGGGTGGTAGGAAATATGGAAGGAAATGGTAGTTGGTTGGTGGTAAGAAATATGGAAGGAGAGGGTGGATGGTGGGTGGTAGGAAATATGGAACGAGATAGTGGTTGGTGGGTGGTAGGAAATATGGAAGGAGAGGGGTGGTTGGTAGGAAATATGGAAGGAGATAGTGGTTGGTGGGTGGTAGGAAATATGGAAGGAGATAGTGGTTGGTTAGTGGCAAGGAGTATGGAAGGAGAAGGCAGTTGACTTGTGGTAGTATACATGGAGGACGATGGCAGATGGCTGTTCGTAGGGTATATAAGGAGACGTGGCACTGGGTTGGTTGTATTTGGCAGGACGTGGCAGTGAGTTGGTGGTAGGGCACTTTAGTCAGCATAGTGCCCTAGTTTGGTCCTTTCTTCTCCTGATCAGCTCAGCTGTCCTCTTACAGAATCTATATGTTGTATTTACCATTTCAAAAAACGTGTTCTGACAGTTCAGTGGAACGGATGTCTGACTTGGGACATTTTCTTCTCTGCTGTTCAAACACTTGAAGCTCCCATGAATGAGCTGACATTTGTTTTTCTGAAGAGTCGAAATGTACTTATTTAGCAACTTCAACAACTGAAGAGGTTTACTGTGCCTGGATGATTGCTGTCAGCATGTGAGAATATCTGAGGGATGGGGAGTCGGGAGGGAGGGTTGCAGCTTCTGGGTGGGATGGCCTTCAGCTGTAAGGTGTTGGATAGGGCTCAGAAGGCAGGGCACAGGAGAGGTTGGGTGAAGCTGTACTCTGCTTTACTGGCTCTGCAGTAGGATTGGTCAGCAGGTTGGGAGGTGTGGGGGGAGAGGATGGATCTGCTCTGCCATGAATCAAGTGAATTACTGACACTATGAAAGGTCATGAGAAAGCTTTGCATAGAAGCATTAAAAGTGTAATATGTGCCAACAACTCCCAATAAAAGTGTTAGCTCCTCAGACGAATGGCAGTCAGGTGCAGCTCCAAGGCAGTCCATCAGTCATAGTGATGAAGATCTTTCTATTGTCCAATCCACTCTGCAATCAAAGATTTGAAGTAAACAAAGTGTAAGAAACACAACGTTCACTCAGCCAGTTGCGTTGACGTGCCTTTCAGAATGAGAGACGCCCCAAATGCGTCTACACAACGCACCACAACACACCGCACTGTGCTCCGCGGGTTATGCATTGTGATAGAGCAGTGCCGGGACAAGGGCATCCAGTGCCTAGGTGCCTAGGCTGAAGATGGAGACTGCTCAGCTGCCTCCCCCCCCCCCCCCGGTACCACCCCACAACCTACCCCATCAGACATCCCAAACCTCCCCGTTGTGTGGGGAAGGGGACTGGGCCAATGGTGGTGAATGCCAAATTATTTGCAATATTTGTGGCATCCAATTAAATAGCACAAATGTTTGTAGTACACTGCAACGCACTGCAACGTTTAACGTCGGTGTACAAATATTGAACAGTGGTGAAGGAAATAATGTCCCTGAGGTCTTGGTGTCACAAAAAGGAAATTACCAAAAGTATTGGGCCAGCTATCCAATTATGTGATTCAGGTGTTCCAATCCCCTCCATATCATGTGATTCAGGTGTTCCAATCCCCTCTATATCATGTGATTCAGGTGTTCCCATCCCCTCCATATCATGTGATTCAGGTGTTCCAATCCCCTCCATATCATGTGATTCAGGTGTTCCCATCCCCTCCATATCATGTGATTCAGGTGTTCCAATCCCCTCCCAATCATGTGATTCCAGGATTCCAATCCCCTCCATATCATGTGATTCAGGTGTTCCAATCCCCTCCATGGACACAGGTGTATACAATCAACCCCTAGGCATGCAGACGGCTTCTACAAACATTGGTGAAAGAATGGGTCGCTCTCAGGAGCTCAGTGACTCCAAGCGTGGTCCCGTGATAGGTGGCCACCTGTGCAATAAGTCCATCCGTGACATTTCCTGGCTACTAAATATTCCACGCTCAACTGTTAGTGGGATTATAACAAAGTGGAAGCAACTGGGAACAACAGCCACTCAGCCACCAAGTGGTAGGCCACGTCACATGACAGGGCGGGGTCAGCACGTGCTGAAGCGCACAGTGCGCAGAAGTCGCCAACTGTCTGCAGAGTCAATAGCTAAAGACCTCCAAACTTGGTGTGGCCTTCAGATGAGCCCAACAACAGTGCGTAGAGAGCTTCATGGAATGGGTTTCCATGGCCGAGCAGCTGCATCCAAGCCTTCCATCACCAAGTGCAATGCAAAGCGTTGGATGCTGTGGTGTAAAGCACGCCGCCACTGGACTCTAGAGCAGAGGAGACATGTTCTCTGGAGTGACCAATCACACTTCTCTGTCTGGGAATCCGATGGATGTGTCTGGGTTTGGCTGTTGCCAGGGGAACGGTACTTACCTCACTGCATTGTGCCAAGTGTAAAGTTTGGTGGAGGGGGGATTATAGTGTGGGGTTGTTTTTCAGGAGTTGGGCTTGGCCCCCTAGTTCCAGTGAAGGGAACTCTTAAGGCAACATTTTGGACAATTTCATGCTCCCAACTTTGTGGGAAGAGTTTGGGGACGGCCCCTTCCTGTTCCAACATGACTGCCCACTAGTGCACAAAGCAAGGTCCATAAAGACATGGAGGAGCCAGGATGGTTTGTGGGGACATCCATGGTACCCTCAAGATGGTTTGTGAAGAGCTCCAGGGTGCCTTCAGGATGGTTTGTGGGGAGATCCGTGGTACCTCCAGGATGGTTTGTGGGGAGATTCATTGTGCTTCAAAGATGGTTTGTGGGGAGATTCATTGTGCTTCAAAGATGGTTTGGTGCCTCCATGGTGCCTCCAGGTTGGTTTGCGAGGAGATCCGTGGTACCTCCAGGGTGGTTTGTGGGGAGATCCATTATGCCTCCAGGATGATTTGTGGGGAGATTCATTGTGCTTCAAAGATGGTTTGTAAGGAGATCCATGGTGCCTCCAGGTTGGTTTGCGAGGAGATCCGTGGTACCTCCAGGATGGTTTGTGGGGAGATCCGTAGTACCAACAGGATGGTTTGTGGGGTGATCCGTGGTACCAACAGGATGGTTTGTGGGGAGATCCGTAGTACCAACAGGATGGTTTGTGGGGAGATCCGTGGTACCTCCAGGATGGTTTGTGGGGAGATTCATTGTGCTTCAAAGATGGTTTGTGGGGAGTTCCAGTATGGTTTGTAAGGAGATCTGTGATGCCTCCAGGTTGGTTTGTAAGGAGATCCATGGTGCCTCAAGGTTGGTTTGTAAGGAGATCCACGGTGCCTCGTTGGTTTGTAAGGAGATCCACAGTGCCTTCAGGATGGTTTGTGGGGAGATTCATAGTGAATCCAGGATTCAAAAATATATATAAATATATATTTATAGCATATACAATTGCTGCGCAAGCCATGTTGTATATAATGTCGTTAACCTCTTCCCGCCGGAGGTACCTCTAACCTCTTCCCGCCGGAGGTACCTCTAACCTCTTCCCGCCGGAGGTACCTCTAACCTCTTCCCGCCGGAGGTACCTCTAACCTCTTCCCGCCGGAGGTACCTCTAACCTCTAACCTCTTCCCGCCGGAGGTACCTCTAACCTCTAACCTCTTCCCGCCGGAGGTACCTCTAACCTCTAACCTCTTCCCGCCGGAGGTACCTCTAACCTCTTCCCGCCGGAGGTACCTCTAACCTCTTCCAGCCTTTCTGCCGGTGGGCTTTAACACTGAGAGGCCACACATATGTGGCCTCTGTGCGCTCCGAGCGCTTTTACTGGCGAGAACCAGAAAGCTCCTGATACATAATTGCAATTGGGAGCTTTCCGATCATGTGACCGATGTGACTGCCAATCACACCAGTCATGTGACTGGAATGACCTTTGCTTGGCATTTAGAACCTAAAGGGCGGCACGAAGGGGTTAAAAATGACCTTTCCTTTTCGGTCAATGCAATATACCAACCTGGTGGCGTTCTGCACACAGACCACGTATAGAACCTCCCCAGAAATGTCACTTCCTGCTTGTGTGATTGGCTCTCTGATTTTCCCAGAAGTCTGCACTAACATACAGGTCAGATTTTAGGCATCCCCTGCAATAGGAATTTCAGTTTTGATGAGATACTCGCAGGCCCATACTGGGACAAAAAATGGGTCTGGGCAATTTAGACTGAGCAGCTAATTTTTACAGGGGGGGGGGGTGTGGGGGTGCAAGGGCGTTCACGGAGTAGGTCCTCTGTACTCTAACGTAAAGGAGCACTGTGTGATATAAAGGGGACTGCACAGTAAAGGGGTACTTGATTACAGTGCCCCTAGAGATCTAATCACAGTGCCCCCTATATATTCAGCAAAGAGACATCCCAATATAGAAAAGAGACAGCCCAATCCAGCAGATAGACATCCCCATATAGGAAAGACATTTTAATCCAGCAAACACACTCCCATATAGCAAAGAGATAGCCCAATCCAGCTAAGAGCCATCCCCATATAGGAAAGAGACATTTCAATCCAGCAAACAGACATCCCCATATAGCAAAGAGACACCCCAATCCAGCATAGAGACATCCCCATATAAGAAAGAGACAGCCCAATCCAGGAAAGAGACAACCCCATATAGCAAAGAGACATCCACATACAGCAAATAGACAGCCCATATAGGAAAGAGACATTTTAATCCAGCAAACACTTCCCCATATAGCAAAGAGACAGCCCAAACCAGCAAATAGACATCCCCAAATAGGAAAGAGACATTTCAATCCAGCAAACAGACATCCCCATATAGCAAACAGACAACCCAATCCAGCAAAGAGATATCCCAATCCAGCAAAGAGACATCCCCATATATAAAAGAGACAGCCCAATCCAGCAAATAGCCATCCCCATATAGCAAAGGGACATCCCAATCCAGCAAATAGACAGCCCCATATAGGAAAGAGACATTTCAATCCAGCAAACAGACATCCCAATATAGCAAAGAGACACCCCAATCCAGCAAAGAGACATCCCAATCCAGCAAAGAGACATCCCCATATAAGAAAGAGACAGCCCAGTCCAGCAAAGAGACATTCCCATATAGCAAAGAGACATCCACATACAGCAAATAGACAGCCCATATAGGAATGAGACATTTTAATCCAGCAAACACTTCCCCATATAGCAAAGAGACATCCCAATCCAGCAAATAGACAGCCCCATATAGGAAAGAGACATTTCAATCCAGCAAACAGACATCCCCATATAGCAAACAGACAACCCAATCCAGCAAAGCGATATCCCAATCCAGCAAAGAGACATCCCCATATATAGGAAAGAGACAGCCCAATTCAGCAAAGAGACATTCCCATCCAGAAAAGAGACATCCCAATCCACAAAGAGACAGGTTTGCGATTAACCAAATGCCCGGTGTGCCCTATGGCCAGTCAGGGCCTGGATATTCTCCGAGGGTTAAATACTTTTAAAGGGATGCAGACCCTGCATCTTTCCTCATCAGCACACTGAGAGTGCACCAGGTGATTATAATGAACCGGACCCTCCCCTGCGGAATCACTCTGCACTGGACATAGAGGAACAAGCAGCTTTGTCTTCAGAGCAGCAAAAGGTCGGGATCTGCTTCAAGTTTGGTAAATCCCTGCGATGTGCAGAGGTCGCACAGAGGGGAGTTTTTGTTTCTCCACAAAACTGGAGTCACCCTTTAAATACACCCTTTAAATAAAACGAACGATTTTGGACTTTCTACAAATTGTTCTGGAGGCTCCATGGATCTCTTCACACCCATGACTAATCTGGTAAGTCTGCATTTCTGTTGGAGGCGGAGACTTGGCCTGGGACCGTGCGGTGACACACATGCAGCACACACAGCTTTTGCATTCAGGCGTAAAAAAAAAAAATGTATACAAAGCCTATTTACTTCTGAGAATCTGAACGCAGCCTTAGAGCCCATTGGGGTCCAAAGTCGCATGACAGGTCACGCCCCACTGAAAGTACTATTCACATCAGTGCGACTTCAGAGTAGTCCCTGCCCTACCTTTGTCCAGCTGCCATACGACTTGAGGGCCATAGACTTTAATGTAAATCCTCCAAAGTCGCACCTGAATGATCTGCATGTGACTCGCGTGCGACTTTGTACAAACTATCATCCCCGGCCAAAGCCAGAGTCGCACTCATCCAAAGTCGTATCACTGCAAAGCCGCAATGAAAATTGGAATAAAAATTGGGGTCCGGTGCGTTTTTGATGCGTTCCAGATGTGTTCCAGGTGCGTTTTTCCCCCTCCTTTTTTGGGTAATTTGGGGTCCAGTGTATTTTTGATGCATTTTTGATGTGTTATGGTGCAGTTTTGATGCTTTCCTGATGTGTTCCAGATGCCCTTTTCGCTCTTTTTCTGGGTCATTTGGGGTCCAGTGCATTTGTGATGCGTTTTTGATGTGTTATGGTGCGGTTTTGATGCTTTTCTGATGTATTCCAAATGCCATTTTCGCTCTTTTTTTTGGGGTCATTTGGAGTCTGGTGCGTTTTTGATGCGTTTCAGATGTATTCCAGATGCTTTTTTCCCTCCTTTTTTGGGTAATTTGGGGTCCAGTGTATTTTTGATGCGTTTTTGATGTGTTATGGTGCTTTTGGATGCTTTCCTGATGTGTTCCAGATGTCCTTTTCGCTCTTTTTTGGGTCATTTGGGGTCCGGTGCATTTTTTTTATGCATTTTTTATGCGTTCTGGTGCGGTTTTGATGCTTTCCTGATGTATTCCAGATGCCCCTTTCGCTCTCTTTTTTTTTGGGTCATTTGGGATCCAGTGTATTTTTGATGCGTTCTGCTGCATTTTTGATGCTTTCCTGACATATTCCAGAAGCACTTTTCGCTCCTTTTTATTGGGTCATTTGGGGTCAGGTGCGTTTTTGATGCGTTTTTGATGTGTTATGGTGCGTTTTTGATGCTTTCCTGATGTATTCCAGATGCCCTTTTTGCTCCTTTTTTTGGTTCATTTGAGGTCCAGAGCATTTTTGATGCATTTTTGATGCGTTATGGTGCGGTTTTGATGCTTTTTTGATGTATTCCAGATGCCATTTTCGCTCTTTTTTTTTGGTCATTTGGAGTCCGGTGCATTTTTGATGCGTTTCAGATGTATTCCAGATGCTTTTTTCCCTCCTTTTTTTGGGTCATTTGGGGTTCAGTGTATTTTTTTTATGCATTTTTTTATGCATTCTGGTGCGTTTTGGATGCTTTCCTGATGTGTTCCAGATGCCCTTTTCACTC